AAAAAAAAAAAAAATTTAAATCAATAAATTTCAAAATTGTCGTTTTGAACAAACTATTTTTTTCTTTTTACAGAAAGTGAAAATAGTTATTATTTTTTATTACTTTTTTAAAATATATATATCTACGATTATAATATTAATATCAATTTTTTTTAAATAAAATTTTTAATGATACAATAATTCTATTAATTCGTTTAATTATTTACTCGATTTATTCATCTGTTTCATTTTACTCGTTTGACAATTTTCCTTTCGAGTTTCTTGTTTGAAAAAAAATTCCATCGATTGAAGGAAAGAGAAAGATTATTATGTATTTTGTTTTGCAATATAACATAAAATTCATTTATCTAAATTTAAAATCTGTTTAATTTAATCGCAGATTTATCGTCCAAAGTTGGTGGAGCCTTTATAATTTGAAATCCTTTATTTCTTTGTTTCGATATCATTGTCGATTCATCGTTTGAAACTTAACACGTTTTAATTTCGAATCTTTTCGTAATTTTATCTGAAAATCATCGTTGATTCATTATTTAAAATTTCGTAACTATTAAATCCTAAAAATCGCGTTGAATCGAGATCGAATAATTGAGTCGTTATGCAAAATTTTACGACGAGTTTCGAATTCCATTTTTTTTTTTTTCATTGTCTCAAAATTAATTTTCATCATATAATTCGTAAAAAATAAAATTGACATTTTTTTGCTATGATATATGATAGAGCATTATATTATAAATATTATATTTTCTTTTTCTCCATCAATTCTTCCTATTTCTTTATCAATTCTTCTTTTGTATCTTCTTTGTTCTCTTTCTTTTTTCAATTCCTCTTCCTCCTTTAATTTATCAATATTAAGCTCTGTTTCATTATCAATTTCTCCTCTTTTTTGCCTCCTTCATTATCCTTTTATTCTGTTCTTCTCATCTTCTCTATTTTTTCTTCGGTGTTTTTTTATTAATAACTCGTTAACATTTTGCAAAGGAAAATGTTACTTGAATTTAGCTGAGAAATCTCCTATTAATCTGTAATTTCATCCATCATTCGATACCAAAAAATTTTTCAGATCGAATGCTTTCAAAAAGAGTAATATTTCAAATTAATTTTTCACCAGTTATAATATTCTCTGGAAAAAAGTATTAACCTATTCACCTATCATACGAAAGACGAGAAGACCGAGAATATTCTATTCGTCTTTCATATGATAAATATTTCAGAATGATCTCGACGAAATTTACAAAGTTGAAAATATCTCTTGAAAAAATTAATAACTTTTGGTTACACAAATAGGTTAATTTCTTTTTCCTTTTTCTTTTAATATCAACTTTAATATCACCATTCGAGAACACTTTATAACAATCTTCACACATCCTCTATATCCTCTAACCACTCACAGATAAATAATATCGGAAAATAATCGAAATCGTTCCACGTTTCTTCCTACCGTAATAACCTAAAAAATAACCTAAATGAAATATCGAGTCTTTTCTCTAATATCTGTCTCACGCGTGATCAAGATACTCCTCACTTAAATGGCACGAATGGTTTATTATGAATTTTGCACGAGACCACTTCCATCCATCTTTCAATCCAAACATTGTTTCGTGGATTCGAGATGATAAACGAAACACGTCCCTCCACTGTTTGTTGGACAGTACCGCCAGATATCGTTTACGGAGGCGACACCAGCGCCGACTTGGCAGTTTCGGAAGGTGACAATGCGACTCTAAGCTGTCGCGCGACTGGAAGGCCGACCCCAAGAGTGTCCTGGCGAAGGGAAGACGGAGAAGCCATTCTCATAAGGGCCTCTTCTGCCGGTACATAATGACACTATAAAACTCGTGGCTATCTCCGTGGACAGACCTCTTTCACTTTAGACCATTCCTCCTTTCGTGAAAAAAGAAAAAAGAGGGAAAAGAAAAGGGAAAGAAAAAGGAGAAGAGAAAAGAAAAAAGGCAGAGAGACGACGACCAAGCTTTAATTTCGTTTGCTACCCATTACACCCATCCCTTTGTTCGCGTTTCTCTCCCTCACTCATCCCAAGTGTTCTCTTCACTGCGACGAGAGATTTATATCGCGATGCTTGGTTAATCGGTGATCGATACTTCGTTTTATTATTTATACGAATCAAGTTGATTTTTTTCTCTTTCTTGGGAAGAGGAGGGGATCGTTTGATTGTATCGAGATGTAGAGAAAAAAAAATGAGAATTCGAAAGATTTTTTTTTTGGAAGATTTGATTTAGATATTCATTTTTCAGTTTTTTTATTTTTGTTTTTTTTTTTCTTTCCTAAATATCCAATTCTTCTTTCTTTAATTTATCAATTCCTTCTTCTCTCCCTTTTTATTAATTAGTAAAAGAAAAAAAAAAAAGAAATTTGGAAGATTTCTTTTGAAAGATTTAATTTAGTTTTATTAGTTTTTATTTTTGTTTTCTTATCTTTGTTTCCTTTCCTTTATCAATTCTTCTTTGTTCTTTCAAAATTCATCGATTTTTCTTTCTCCACTTTTTTATCAATTCCTCCTCCTCTTCCTTTATAATATTATAATATCATATATTAATTAGGAAAATTTAGGTTTTTTTTTTAAAGGAATTTGGTTTGGATGTTCATTAGTTTATTTTTCTATTTTTGTTTTCTTATTTTTTTCCTTTTTCTTTATCAATTTCTCTTCTTCCTTTAATTTATCAATTCTTCTTTCTCCCCTCCTTTATCAATTTCTTCCTTTATCAATTAGATAAATAAAGATAATATTGGGAAGTTTTTTTTGCAGGATTTAATTTGGTTTAAATATTCATTAGTTTTTCTATTTTTGTTTTCTTATTTTTTAGTCGAATGGAAATTTATCGTTGTACTTGTGATCGATGTTTCATACGAATAAATTTATTTAGTTTTTTTTTGTAATTTGCAATTCGATCGTTTCATTATATTACAATGTAAGCTTTATTTTTGTTTTTTTTTTTTTTTAATTAATTAATTTAATCTGATCAATATTTTGTACCAATGAAATAAAAAGTTTTTTAGATTTAGTTTTTTTTAACTTGTAATTTATAATGATCTCTCTTTATGTTGCGATGTAAATATTTGGCAAAACATTTTTAAGCAAAAAATTTGATTCGATTTGCTATCTTGAAGATATATTGCAATGATCGATTGCACTGATGAATTTGTAGATTTTTTTTTTTATGATTTTCAGTGCTTTTAAATTTGCCAAAATTTACAATATTTTTGGAAGATATGATTTGTTTCACTATCCTTTTTACTCAAATGAAAATTTATTGCTCATATTTTATATATTTTTCTTTGCAATTTTGCAATGCCTTCGAAATTTATTATGTCAAAATTTACAGCAATTTTGGAAAAATTTATTTCCACGAAATCTTGTATCTTTTTTTTTTACGATTTAATACTATACTGTTTCTTCCCTTCTTTCTTATCGAATATTTCCTTATTTAATTTTCTTATTACGTAATTTATCAAAATTTATAACATTTTTGCAATATATGATTTGTTTCACTATCCTTTTTGCTCAAACGAAAATTTATATAAGCTTATAAATTCTATATTCTACATCTACATGCTTTATAAATTTTTCTTTTGCAATGCCTTGGAATTTGTCAAAATTTACAACAATTTTGGGAAAATTTATTTTCCTATCTTCCATGACGTAAAATCAATCTCGTATCCTTTTTTTTATTTTCTTACGATTCAATCCCAATCTACGCTACATTGTTCCTTTCCTTTATCGAATATTGCCCTATTTTTAATTTTCTTATTAATTCGAAAAGAAAACAGCACGGCACATAAAAGCACATATAGATAAAAATATACATGTCGTAAGTATACATCCAGAAATATTCGCGTGATTTTGTATTAGTTTCACAGGATAATTAAGTAACTCTAATACCCATCCTAATTACATAGAAATCCTCTTCCCACTCGAAGGAGAAAGGAGATCTCGTTCGTAATAATATTTTACACAACGCATGCGCGTGCACATATGCGCACACAACAGCTCGAACCGTATCTCACAAGTGAATACATTCGCTCACACCGTACGACTTAATCGAATTAATATTAATATCATATTCAATTTTTCGTTGGATAATATTTTCAAATTAATACAACGGCGGAATTTCGAGTAAAATTGTTATTTTGCAATCTCGTCTTTTATACGCTGAGAGGAGCGAAGGCGATTAATCTCAATGAAGCGAAGTATGAAAGGATTTCGTCCTGTTTTTCCTTTATCGCGTTAAATAATTCCTTTCTTATTTCGCTTACGCTTGTTTACACGGAATTTTCAACGCGAAATTCTCGTGTGCATGGTCGATTGAATATTTAAGAAGCGATAATTCAGATTGTTGGCAGATTATTATTATTATTATTATTTGTTTTTCGAATCGAATTATTATATTATATATTCGGTCTTTTCTTTTTTGGTTAAATTTTTTTTTTTTTTCTTTTTTTTGGAACGTTATCGCGAATTTTTATAGCGAAATTGTTTGAAACAATAGAGAATGACAGTTTTCTTCGTCTCCTTCGAAATTTAATTACGATCGTAATTAAAATTGTAATTACAAACTTTAATTAAAATATTTAAACGCCGTATTTTTAGAACAATGTTTCTGCAAAATACATTGAAGATACTTGAAAAGAGGCTATTGTGAGAATATAATGAAAAACTATCACGAAAATAGGCTAGACGCGAAGTAATGCAATTTCGAGGAAGAATAGTTTTCCTTTTTTTTTTTTTTTTTTTTTTCTAGAAATTTCCCAATTTTTTAAAAATTACATCCAATAAAATTATCTTAAAGAGCTTTTCTAAAGAACGACTCACAACAAAAACTTCTCAAATCAAATTACCCAATTTCTAAATTTTATTAAAATTCGATTATTCTTATCAAAAATTCTACTCAAATATTTCTACAATACTCGATAAAAATTTCTCGAATCAAATTTCGAATATCTAAATCTTAGAAATTTAGAAATTTTATTTATTTAGATCCCCTCAAAAGAATTCAAAAACAATTCCTACAATTGTCGATAAAAGTTCCTCATTGACCAAAAAAAAAAAAAAAAAAAAAAAATCCAATTCTCCATCGACAATGAACGATACCTCGCCAAGAACGAGACCTCGAAAAGATAAGAAATCGAGAGCGCGGAAGAAATTTTCGGACACACTGATTGAGCGTAAGAACACGGTAAAGTGGGTATAAAGAGGCGGGTCGTTGAAACAAGTTTCGCCTCTTGAACTCGAAGACAGAAACAGCGGGCGCGCGTGTAAAGAAACAGAGGATGAGGATCCTCTTCATGGTATCTTGTACGACGCATACTCGCAAAAGTAGACTTAGTGTACGTACACAGAATGTAGGGACACGAACCACGAAGCTTACGCTTGTACCACGGCCTAGGAACAGGTATATACACAGCGTGCGTATACGTATAACATGGTTTGTACACACATCGAGAAGGATATAGACCGTGGTAGTTTCCGCTGCAGGGCCTCGAGTTGGCAAAACTTTGGTCTACGTAGTTCCACTACTACTTCCAGCCTTGCTCGAATGCAGTTGAAACGTTCAAGACTTTTTGTCTTCCTTTTTTCTCTCTCTCTTTCTTTCATCGCGTATTTTTCTTTACGATAGGATATTTTAACGATTGTCGTTCGCGAAAAACGCTATTAACATTTGCCGGAATGCACGAATAAACGTATACTTAAGGGGTTAATGGGGTAAACGGAAATTTAGTACGAGGTTTAATCATTCTTTAATGGTGTGCTTACCGCGAGAATGTTATTAATACCCTAGGGAACCTTTTATAAGAGGTAATGTTACCTATTTAGCCGTGACACGTTTTTTTGTTACCGACCGTAGGTTCTTATAATTGTTCTCTATACCGATCTTCGGTCAATTAGGAAATATAAAAATTTTAAATTTTTTTTTTTTTTTTTTAAGGACTAGAAGTAATATTTCGAGAGAAAATATTCGTGTTATTCTTACATCTAAAGATCTCTTTTTCTTTGAGTTTTCGTTACCAATTTAAATTGTAATTATCCTTATGATTCTTTGATCAATTAGAAAAAGAAAAATTTTGAAAAGTTTTCTTTTTCTCGATATTATAACTAAAAATAATATTTTAGAGAAAAATTTTTCGTGTTATTTTTATGACGCGAATACATTTGAGAATAGAACTTTGAAAAGTTATCGATAATTATTTTTCGCTAGTACAATATAATACAATGTTTTTTTTCTCTATTATTAATATAAATTTTTGTAATTTTTCCTGTATCATTGCAAATTTAAAAAAATCTTTCTTCCTCGATAAAAAAAAAGTAATTAAAAGTAATAATTTAAAACTCTCGTTATTCTCTTTTCCAAACCTGCTTTCCTTCCTATATTTCTCAACACAAAAAAGCTCAATTAGGTAGGCCAACTTTACCCTACTTTCTTAAACGCACAATATCGGTATTTAAACAAACACCGTGCACGCGAAAAAGGAATTACCGTTAAATGCAACGAAAAGTTTAATCCGTCGTTGCAATTTTTTTTTTTTTTCTTCGTTTTTTCTTTTTGCAAACTGCATCGAACTGCTTTTCCTCTGAATACACAAAACCGCTCACGTGCAACTTGCGTCGCTTTTCTACCTGACGATGACGCTTTTCTTACGAGCTTTACAAACTCGTTAGCGTTCGCTCACTTAAGAAACTCGTTAGCAACCTAAGTAGTGAATTAAGCATATATCTTCTCGTCTCTTCTTTCGCTCACGATAGTGCGTCCACCTTCCGGCTACTTCTCTCTCCGTCTCTCTCTCAGCGTTGTGTCACTATCGCTCCCCTCCCCTCTGTCTCTCTCTTCCATGCTTCCTCTTCCCTCGCAAGCGGAGTAGTGGTGGCTTCCATTCACCCACTCCACTTTGACGGTAGTTTTCTTCGTTCAATTGCATTAGTCTGTGGTTTCGACCTGGTTAAAAGTTCTAGCTGGATTCGTTTAGATCTGAAAAGTTGCAACTTCTTGCTCTGAGAAATAATGTTCTTTCCATTTCACGATTTCTCTTCGTCGATCTTCGCGGCTTGACTGACGAGAGGAGGATTTATACACGTTCATTGTACATTATTTTCGATCGTAGAATTTTTTTTTTTTTTTTATTATTATTATTTCGTTATTTAGTTCGAAACTTTTCTGAATTTCGTTACTCTTTTTTGTCCATCTTTGTTATCCTTTTAGCTTGATACAAGAATTATATATTTGTCGTTTTTTGTATATATTTTAGATATATTGAGAAAAGTATCATCGAATTTTTTTTTTTTAATTATTTCGTTATTTAATTTTACAAATAACATAGAATATAGATTATTAGATTATGAAATAATTTGACTTTACTTTATACGAAGATGTATACAAAGTACTTGACACGTTTTCGTTTCGAAAATTAATTTGTGTTAATCGAATTTTGAATAATTAAATTTTAAGAGTATTTCATTCGCGGAGCTACTAATTAAAAAGTAATTTAAAACAATTTTTTACGAACTTATTACGAAAAACAACTTGTTACATCGTTGATAAAATAAGGAATAAGAATATTTAAGGATAATAACAATAGATATTTCAGTATATCTATAATATTGGTTTTTATGCAATAGAAAAAAAAATTTATAATACTATCAATATTTTAATTATATCCATATCAATGGATATTTGCCTCTTATTTTTACCTATCGCATTTAATCTTCTTTTTTTTTTAATTTAAACAATAGAACAGATAATTTATTTTTTATATCATATATGATACTTCAAAACAAACGATTTTTAAAAATAAATCAAAAACAAGAAAATAGAATAATTCTCTAACAATTCTCAACATCAATCGCATTTACAAATTTTATCTTATTACCATACACACTAAAAACTTTTTCAAAAATATCAAAAAAGTTATTCCAATATCCTTGCTAACAATTCCACATCCACAAAATTAATTCTCCTTTACACGCAACAATTCATATTTTTCCAAAAATACTACACACACAAGAAAAAAGGAAAGATAGCCGAAAATCCTTGCTAACATCATACCAACCTACCAACTAGTCTCTCTCTGCCAACCGCTCTTCAATCAAAATGGTGGAAAAGAATCGAGGAGGAATGATAAAAAGCGATCGGTAGCGAGGATAGGATAAGAGGATAGGAGGGGATTTTCGAGGAAAACATGCAGAGAGAGGGGTTTTCTCGGTGCGCAGGTGGCGGCAGTTTCGAGAAGCACGAGACGTACAACGGTTCGGTGCTGCAATTCCATCGTGTCGAGAGGCGACAAATGGGGGCGTATCTGTGCATCGCCAGCAACGACGTGCCGCCCGCCGTTAGCAAGCGAGTGACACTCGCCGTGAATTGTAAGCTTGCTTTCCTCCTAATCCCTGATTCTACCCGCCGGAAAAGCTCCCGACAAAAGGCAAAGCAACTTGGCGTTAACACCAGCTCACG